CTTGTAGGAGGTGTTCCTGTAGGAGAGGTCTGAGGGGGTGCGTTAAGAAGGGCTTGAGGAGTAGGAGGTATGGCTGTGTTTAGAGCAAGGGAAGGGGGAATTAATGGAAGTGAGGAGGTGTAACCTTGAAATCGCTGAAGTGATTTTTGACCTGAGAACCCGGAAAGGGTGTAAAGCCTGGAGGATCCATGCAGCAGGACAGGAAGGCTTGGGAAAAGGAATCTGATAAATGCTAAATGGAAAACTTCAAAACTACTAACACATATTCTCTGGAATACAACTGGAGCAGGAACCTGCAGTGGAGTTAGCAGGCCTGGGTTAAGAAACATGCTGCCAAGACTAGGTTAGTAAAGAAGCTAAAGAAGTTCTTCACAGTTGTGTCACGTCAAGGAAAAAGGGGAGGTTCCTACACTGGATCCATTTTTGTGGGAGCTGTGTCAGAGGATGTTTCTTGACTCAAGTGACAGCAAGAAGAGTTTAAGGAGTAGACAAACAGTAACATGTTCCTAAACCTGGCTAATATTTGCTTAGTTACTCAGGAATGTGGCCACTTACCTACCCAGCCTTCCCTAAAACCAGCTGGGAATTTGGAGGAAACATGCATGGTGCTGTTTTTAAAGGGTCCAGAAAGAAACCTCCACAGTCTGACTTCTGCACCAGGCAAACCAGTAGAAACCATTAAAACCATTAAAAATAATGTAGCTAGTCAGAAGAGTTGCATGGCTTATTCCTTTCTGGCCGACTACTGCCTAAGTCCTGTACTGTGTTTGGTAGGGATTGAGTATGGATACAGTGTCTAGAACTGGTGCAGTTAATAAAATAGTTTCCAAAGAGACTCCATATACAAAAGTATCAAAGGCCTTTAAGGAAATCCAGTATATGTGGATGAAAGGGTGGGTTCTTGCATGGATAAATGACTAGCTAAAAAGAAGTGTGTGTGGTCATCTGCCACACTGAAGGATGGAGCCATTTTGGGATCTTTATTCAGTATGTTCAGGAGCAGCTGGGGGATTCCTGCAGTAGGTGATGGCTGTGAAGTCTTCGAGTTAGCAGCCCTGAACAATCTGTTCTTACAGCCCTGAACGACTTGTCCTTACAGTCTTGTTTATGACTGGATCACCCCACCCTGTCACAGTCAGATCACGATCGCTGTACAGTGGCATACCTGACATCCATGAGGAAGAGCCACTTTAGCTTTGCTTCATTTTGTATATAAAATCAGTGTGCTCTACACCTTAGGAGCAAGATAAGTGGGTCATAGTACATTTGTGTGAAAATACCAGCTTAGCACTTAATAGCAGTTCAAATAGTAAAAAAATTCGTGGATTATCTAGAAAAGAAATAGAGAATAAAAAAGGGGAATACCTTTTTGTGTATTGCATAGTTGCAACTTCTGCTTGCAATTTGAATGTTCTATGCCATTTTGAGATGAGGAAGGAATCTCACAGAGTGAACTCAAGGGTTTAGAGAAGGGCAACGAGGACTAAAGTTAAAAACCAGTTTAAGCAGAGGGATCAGCTGAGCAGGACTCTGCTTTGGAATGGTGGTAGCTGAAGGGAAGTTAAAACTGTCAGTGTCAAGAGGATGGTCCTTGTATGAAATGGAGGGAAGTCCCCACTGCTTTCAGATCTTCTTCTGAAGAAGGCATTAATCTGCTTTATTTGGGCAGAAATTATGAGGTTTGTGAATTTTGGGATAGAACTCCGTTCTCGGAAGCAGTAGTCGGGGGATAGCTCAATGTGACCTGGCACCTGCCTGTGCTTTTTCACTTTTTGAACCCCTTTGAAAGGAGCTGAGGCCCTGCAATCGATTCTTTAAGTAAGTACTTCGCACTGGTTACATTAGTGGCTTTCTCTCCATTGCCAGCATCTTACTGAGAGAAACTGGGTGCCAAATCTGGGAGCCAGGCAGCTAAGTGACATTAGGCATTTTGTGGAGTTAACCAGCATGGTGTGCTCTGCAGTTCTCTTAAAAATAAAGATACTTACTTAGCATGTTCCAGAATGTCTCATCAGTCTGAATGAAGCTTTTAACTTGCAGTTACAGTGAATGGTTTACCAAGTACAGTGCCATTAGTGACTTTTCTGGAAAAGATTAATTTATCTGGTGAGTAAGAACCAGAATGTTGAAATCTCCTGTAAGTGGAACCTGTTCATTTCAGCCATTTAAAGCTTACCAATATTTTTCTTTTATTTTCCCCAGGGTTGATAAAGACAGGAGTGGAATAATATCTGACAATGAACTTCAGCAGGCATTATCTAACGGTGAGTCTGTAAGTGAGCGCTGAGGTTCATTGTAAACTTAATGGTAAATTTCATATAAGTCTGGTTACTTTATGCCATAATTATTTGATTGGGGGAGGTGGAGGGTGTTCCCATCGCTGATTAATGCTGTCTAACTTTATTTATTATTACTACTATACTGTTGAACTTATATAAATATTATACTGTAGTATTTAGCCTACAGCAAAAGGTTGAAGAGGAGGAAAAAAACGGACAGTCCTCCTGATCTTACTTTATTTTATTGGGTTTTTTCTCAATGTTCCTGTTTTGGTTTTTGTTTTTATTTCAAGGGAAGTTTTCTGGGTTTGGTGCATGTTAGTAACAAAGCATTATAAACTGAGTAACTATTGTAAACATTACTGATGTGTATGCTGAGGAATGAAGGCATGCACACCTCTATCTTTTTCCAGCTCTGCTTCCTAGGAAGCATAACCAGTCATTTATAGATTCCTCACTCATCACTACTGAACCTTTGTTTTTTAACCAGGATCAGTGTTTAACCTGGACAAAGATCAGCTGTTTACAACCAGCCTTTTCCCTGCACATAAAATCTTTTCAAACAGTACGGTGCAGGAATTGGAGATGGTAATTGTTAATTTTTTTTTTTTTTTTTTTCCCAAATGAGGCATGTTTGGATTTTTTTCCTAACGAAGCAGAAAGATGCAGTCTAGATCTAGTATTAAAACTTACCAGTACTCTGGCAGTTCCTTTAAAGGGTAATGAGGGTTTAGTCAAATAACTCATGGAAGCAAAATAAAAAGCTGAAAGAATTTCCAGTCGCCTATTTTAACTTCCCTCTGGTGACTTAGGGTGGGTTGGGTTGTACTTTGTGGGTTGGGTTTTTTCCACTTAGAAACCTGAAAAAAGCGCGAACTGTTTGTGTACCTTTGAGTCCATATCAAGTTCCCTTCTCCCAGGGTTTAATTCCTTCATCCTTCCTGTGCTTTGTGGCTGAGAAGGGTTTAACCCGACATTGTGAGCTGCAGTGCACACAGGCTGAAAGGCTTCTTGTCAGTAACCACCTGACCAGAAATAAACCTGTTTGGCTCCATTTAGTAAAATGGTGGTCTTGTACGAGAATATTTGTTTAATAATTTATCTGGTAAATGAAAAGCAATATATTATAGCTGCCAGACCTGATCCATAACTAAAATACTGTTTTGAGTAAAAACTCCAGCAAAAGCTTGATTAAACCGATGAAGTCACTGTTTTCATTTAAGATCACAGTGCTGTTCATACCTGTGGGAACCTGGCTTTACCTACCATTTTAAACCTCACGTATTTTAAATATCCTTTCACCTGACTGAATGTAAGACTAATAGGCAGTGATGACTATCTGAACTCTTTCCTTTCCTTATTTAGTGTAGATCAGCAGTTTAAGTGCTTTGCAGTTATGAAGAATCCTCACCAAGTGAATTCACTGTTAGACAAAGTATGTGCAGAACTGTAAGCTTCCTTCCTTCCTTCCGAGTTGTTCTAGATCTTGTACACCAAAGTAACTAACCATTCACTATATTCTTTTCAAAATATCTCCTCCAGTGGATGTTGAGTGTAGCTGTCCTGCAATCTAAAATGGGCTAAAAGAGTGTTATATGTTTATTTCTGAAGCGGTTTTAAAAGTCTGCATAGTGCTCATTAGAACTTTGAAGTTCAGTGTGGTTTTGACGTTTGGCTTTTCAACATAGAATCATAGAATGGTTTGGGTTGGAAAGGACCTTAAGAGCATCTAGTTCCAACCCTCCCTCTAGTTTCACACCTCCCACTAGACAAGGCAAGTTTGTTTGAGTAACAGTATACTTACCTGTGAGGGAGATTATCACTTCGTATAGTTGTTTGCACAATAAAATCCTGTGCTTCCTTGTTTTCCTCTGCATTGCCAGGTAAAGTTAACAGCAGAGTCAGGGGAGGGAACAGGCTGGAATCAGTACAGTTCTTCAGCACTGGAGTTGCTCTGATTTCACTCTATGGTATCTAGACGAGTCTTTCAAAAACTGAAACACAAAACAGGTTAACTTTCAAACTGTTTTCACTTTTTCCTCTCTTCTGTTCAGAGTTAAATGCTGGCACCCTATTAATAATTCCTTTATTTTTTGGTTTTGTCAGGAGACACAACTCTTAAGGTACTGATGTTCTCTGTCTAAAATACTGCTTAAGCATTTTTAGAGCCATTTTTACTCTTTCTCTGCTCATGTTTCTGTTCATGTGCAAATAGTCCTACAACCTGCCTACAGCAGAGGGGTTTTCCCCATTGCTGTGTCTGTCCACTTACACTGGTACCATTTCCCTTCTAAAGGGAGAAACTCAGCACTGCCATGAGCACTACTTACACCACCACTGCAGCAAAGCAATGCAGCAAAGCAACCACGCATTCACAAAGCCTGCTTCATGCCAGCACAGCCTTTCTGTTAGCTATTTGCAGTCAGCTAACTGCATCGCTGCACATGGGTCTGCAGTACCCCTGGTCTTCTGCTTCCCCACACTCAACCACAATTAATTTAATATATGCTCCTTGGTCTTCCTGGTTCCTTCACAGGCTCTAGAGAATTGATGGTGAAATTCTAGACGAGACGCAGGATTTCTCTGAATTTAAAGCTTAATGCTCCCAAGGAGGGGAAAGCTGTCCCTAAGTGACTAGCCTCTTAATATTCAGAGACGTACAAAGGCCCTTTCAAGCAGCAACATTTCTTGGTCTGAAAATACTAACTTAAACTAACACCTCATTGATTTAGCAATGGAGGTGGGATTTATACTAAACCTAACTTCAAATCGCACTGTGTGGTTGTGCCATGTTAGGAACCTTTTCTTTTCATTTCTGTTGGAAACTAGTGTCCTGGGGTAATCCATCTGTAAAATAGGGAATGAGCAGATGGGGTTTTACTTAGGAATAGGTATGAGACCTTGTCTGAATTGTAACTTGAAAGCTCTTCTGCTCCCATTAGTAGAAAAAGTGGGACTTCAGTTTTGATCTTGCCTCTTATCCAGTACCTCCTGACTGCCTGGATGAAAAAAATCCTTCTTATTCTTCTTGAGGTTTTGAGTGGGTGGTTTGGTGCGGCCTGAAAAATGCTGCTTCCTGTGTAGTATCTATAAAGCATTGGTCACCTCTGAATGGTCAAGAACATAATTACTTCAAAGCAGCCTTATTATGTATATAATATGCTAGCTCCATGTCATCTAGCTTTGAATTCACTGTTTTTTTGGTTCTTTCTTTTCTGATTTTTCTTGGTTTGTTGGTTGGTTGCGTTGTTTTTTAGATGTTAGCTAGTATTGAGGCACTAAGTGGTTCTTTCTGTTTCAGGCACGTGGACTCCGTTTAATCCAGCAACAGTCAGGTCAATTCTTGGTGAGTGTAGTTGTGTGATGTGAAAGAGTCAAGTGTGATGTTTTGGAACATTGAGAATGCTGTCAATTGTTGCACTGGTTTGTTGTGTTTTTCTCCAGACAGCCCAGCAGGAGTAAGTTAAGTATTTTCCCTTTGAAATAAAACTGAAATACCTTTTGCATACACACACATGCATTTGTGGAAGTAGCCTGAGAAAATGTTACTGTACAACTGAATAAATAGTAAATGCAGTTTACGCAGAGGGAAATTGACAGCTTGAATAGTCTAACAGGATATTATGTAGCTTGTGTCTGTAACTAGTTTTTCCTGTCTCACATTTTAATTCTGTTTTGCTCCAAAAAGACCAAACAGAAACTTTACAATGTTTGAATTCTTTAGTGTCCTAAAATAATTGCCAGTAGTGTGGAAGATAATGGTGGTAGAACAGGATAAAAATTCAAGCACAAGAAATCTTTTCTGTCATACAGTTCATAAAAACATTCATAAAGGACTGAATGTTTTGCTTTGTTTTTAGTAAGTACTCAGCAGCAGCCCGAGTTCCACCACTGTATGTCATTACATATATATGTGATCACATATAAAGATGACAGTGTCAGTAAGTCAAACACAGATGACTATCCCAGCACTCCTGGCACTCAGCTGACTTCAGCTTGTTCATGTGTCTTAGAAAAGGACAACCCACCCCCTGCCCTTTTTATCGCTGGATGGTCAGTCAAGCCCTAAATACTTTCAAAGTGGGAATGAAACCCCAGGAAAAATAAAACATTCTGTGATTGATTCTAGTCCTTTTTTATCTTGCTGGATCTTTTCCTCCTTCAATGGGTGCCCACTTGCTCTTTCTGGCAGAACTTCCCAAAGTACCACTTGTATTTTAGCAATTTACTTTCTTCAGCACATTCCACACAGTGCTCTTGCTGCTGCCTTCAGATACTAGCAGGTCTTACTGAGGAGTAGTATGGTTACTGGTTTATGTGTGTTTCTTATTTCAGGCATGTTCGACAGAGAAAACAAAGGTGGTGTGAACTTCAATGAATTCACAGGAGTCTGGAAGTACATCACAGACTGGCAGAATGTCTTTCGAACGTATGACAGAGACAATTCTGGAATGATTGACAAAAATGAGCTAAAGCAAGCACTAACAGGTTTTGGTAATTCATTTGTAACTACAGTTTTTATGGTTGGGTTATGGCATCAAATATGCTCCTTACTGTTAGGGCTGTACTGCTCTGACAAATGTGACTCAAAACGAGGCAGGTGAAACGCAGTTATCTTTTTAGCTACAAGGTACCGTTTAAAGATGTCTGTGCCACGAGCACTTTCTGATTTTAAGCTATTTCCTTTAATGGAAAAAAAACAAAACAGAAAACATTCCACACATGTACCAACACATCCAGTTTCAGTCTCCTCTGTAGATGCTCCAAGAGCGTTGCCAAATACTTCAGGTAAATGAACTTACTCAGTACACGATGCAGCTTGCTGCTTCTCAGAACAAGAGGTAACAGTCTCAGGCTTGCACCAAGGGAGTTTAGGTTGGATATCAGGAAAAACTTCTTCACAGAGAGGGTGGTCAGGCATTGGAACAGGCTGCCCAGGGCAGTGGTGGAAGCACCATCCCTGGAAGTGTTCCAAACTGCGTACAGGATGCCCTCAGTGACATGGGTTAGTGGTGGGCTTGGCAGTGGTGGGGGAATGGTTGGACTTGATGATCTTAAAGGTGTTTTCCAACCTATTTGATTCTATGATTTTATGGTTAAAACGAAGCCAGCTGTCTATGCTATGTTAGGCTTCACTTACAAGAAGCTGAGCTGCAGCCCCTAAATCATTCCCTCAACTGACTTGTCGCTTCGATCAGTAAGTAAGTATGTTACCGTGACTCTGTGTGCAGCTATTACTAAGCACAGGTTCCATTGTATGCATTTCAGTTTAATGCGTTCAGAAAAAAATGGTATCTCTCTTGTAGCTACTTACAGATTCCTGGCTTTGTCAGACAGGCCTCCTACGCACTAGTTCTTGTTCTAGAAGGACTGTGGTAATTGAAACCTTCTAAAGCCTTTCTCTTTTCCAAGGTTACCGACTGTCTGATCAATTCTATGATATCCTTATTCGGAAATTCGACAGACAAGGAAGAGGACAAGTTGCTTTTGATGACTTTATTCAGTGCTGTGTTGTTTTACAGGTAGGAAAGGTGATGTATGTTTATGTCAATTGGAAAAAAACAAAACAAAACCAAAAAACAAACCCATCATTTCATAAGCTTTGCTGGTTCTCGCTTTAACTATATTACTGGGTCTAGAACTTCCTTTTACTTATAGTAAACCATTTGAAGAAAGTATACGAGAGTTGCTAGAAACAATGATGTCATTTACTGGTCTTCACTAGTTATCCATTAGCATCATCACAACTAAATTTGATACAGTGGGGGGAACTGTAAAATCGTTATCAGTGGCCTAAAAGGAGAACACTTATTACTCTTTCCATTAGTTGAACACACACAGTTCCTCTGGATCTTTATTGTATTAAGTCTGAGTGTGCCATGTCCTGTGGTGCCCGTAATTCCCACTGTCTGAATTGTGAGGTTTTTTATATCTTTGCTTAAGGGTCTGACTAAAAGGAATCTGACCGAGCAGCTGAATTATTCAGTCTTTTGTCACTGTTGTTCCTTCAGGGGCAATGGTAGTAAAACACCTTTCAAACAAAAAAACCTTTCAGTGACAGAAAGTATGGGGGGTTGGGTGTGTGTGTGAGAGAGAGAGAGATAACACAGGTGTATTCTCTTGTTTGGAAATCAGTCACTGGATGATTCCTCACCTTATTGCTAAAGGTTTCTCTTAAGTGTATCATCTGACTTTCCTGAAAAGACTTTGGGGGAAAGCTGGGAAACTGTAGCAATGGACAAACCTAGTTTTTGTATGATAGGAAAAAGGTTGCTTGTGTTACGTTGGCCAACTTTGCAACGCTGTCTTAAGATAGATACCTCCCGATATGCAACATGAAGAGAAAGCAGGGCCCTGTAGAAAGTAGTATGTCCGCTATTTCTGCACAGGTGTTTTGCTCTTCTCCTTTTAGCTTTATGTCTGTAACTGTAAGTCTGTGGAAACATCAGTTGCCTTTATATACATTTGTAACATAAGCCAATTATATTTAGTTCTAAACTCAAACTCTGGTAAAGAGGGCTTTGAAATAGGGTGTCACGCAGCTGGTGTTAGTGAAGCCGTGCTGGCGGTTGGTTTGGCCACTGTCCGCACTGCCTGGCATCTCTGACGGGGTTATACAGAGACAGCTTGGACACTAACGACACATAGAGCATGTATGAGAAATGGAGAAGGCACCTGTTAGATTCACCTCCAGGTCATTCTCAAATGCCTCATGAGAAGTGCACATTGTTTCTCCCCCACCTCAAGGCCAGTTACAAAGAAGTGCCTAGATGGGTACGTACTGGATCATAGGGCAGTTTTGGAATCTGATCTTGCTGCATGATACTGTCAAGTGCCAACAGAGGGGATGGACAGAAAGGGCTATCCAAATGGCAAGGGGAGTGCTTGTCCTGATGTACAAAGATGTACGTTCTTTCCCTCCTTGTCAGAGGCTGACGGATGTGTTCCGGCGCTACGACACTGACCAAGATGGCTGGATTCAGGTGTCCTATGAGCAATATCTTTCTATGGTCTTCAGCATCGTATGACACAGCTAACCAGGAACTGCACACTGCTGTTACACAGACTGGAGTTGCCAAATCATCACGTGCTGAATAAGATTATTGATGTACTATAATGGATATAACTTCACCTTAAATTTTGTATGTATGTATGTTGGCCATCGCCAGAATCTGTACTTGAGTTGTTTTTTATTTTGTATCCCTGTATGATACGACCATCTCTACTTACTGTCCTACAGAAAGCACAGACTCTAGATTTACATGGTGCAATGTCAGACTTAACCTTCTCTCACATATCCTGCATGGGGAAACATGACTCTTTAGAAACGCCAAATTACAATAATGCTTGTTAGTTTAGAAGGGAGTTGAAAGTCAGAAGTTGCACAATATGTTTTGCATGTGCCTTACTTTTTTAAGAGTTTAATGTATTAATTTTTAATACAGAACTTAAAAATTAAGTAAAGATATTAGATCGACTTTTATAGTCTACTTCACTTTTGTATGGGTTTCTTTTTAAGGGGTGGTGGGTTTATTTCTGTATGCTAGTTTTCTATGGCTCAGGGGTCCCTCCCATGGAACAGCAAGGGCCTTTTTTCCTTGCATTATTCTATCTTCTAGCTGCTGCCTCCTCTCGGAGTATCCTCAGGACAACTTCAAATACAACTTCTTCACACCCATGTCCAATACTGCATCATCCTCAGCGAGTTCCCTGCAAAAATACACCATATCTAACTACTCTGGATGTGTAGTTCCCTCTGCTTAGGGGGCTTATTTAACAGCACCAGCCTTCCTTCTTGTGCTGAAGCACTTCTTTGAAGTGGCCTTGAACTGACTGATTGTCAGATATTGCCATCACCTCCCCTCTATCTCACCATTTACAGCTGGCAAGGGGGACAGTGGTAAAACAAGCAAAAGAAGTAATGACTGACTCCTGCCACCATCTCCTGCAGGAAATGCAAAGCAGCAAAGAGAAGTTAACAAGTTTTCTTTGACTGCTCGAAGACAATCTTACCCCAGTACTATCCAAAGAACTTAGGCCCACTCAGCAGCAGTGTTACTTACCTGTAACTGCTCACTCTGGGATGTTCACAGGGCAGGGCTTTCAGCTTTTATCCAAAGATGTTTTCTTAAACTAGCAGTACTTACTTACTCAAGCCCTTCCCTGTCCCCAGCTCACTGTATGCAGGCAGCCCCCATGCACCCATTTGTTTCAGATTCCACAGTTACGTGACAGCTCAGAGGCAGTTGAGCTGTCACGGATACGTGCCTATACATAAACTGGTGCTGTCAGTGATAGCACGCACATGTTCCAAGAGATGATGCAGAGAAGGGCTGGGTCCCCGCACGGAAAGACATCCTACCTAAAAAAACACCGGTGTTAACAGTGTTATTCCCAAGTGTCTCAGCCAGAGTGCAGTGCCTGGTGTCAGGGTGAAGGCAGCCAAGTGGCAACCTTGCGGTTAGCTGGCACCTGTCGTGCAGAGAAGCTGCTACTAGTTGGCAAGTGATAATCAAACAGAGCCTGAGTGACAGTTCAGCAATATCTTCTGAACAATTTCTGATGTGAAATACCTGGGGACAGACCAACGGTCTCCCAAGCACGTGCACACCGACTGTTGTCTGAGCTGCTGTCTCACCCAACAGCACTGGGCAGACTGTGAAGGTTACTTACCTTAAAGGTGCTAAGGGAGAGACTTTCAATAGTTCCTGCTCAAACCTCACCTCCCCAGACAATGGAGAGGATCACTAGATATATATTCTCCTCAAAAAAAAAACAATGCAAGAGCAGCCCCAAAGTCTGGGGCTTAAAAGAGCTTCTCCATTAAATGGCCCATTCAAAAAGGCTTCCTTGTTCCCTTCCCAGTAGGAAATCCATCCCTTTGGATCCTGCGTTCACCCTAATAGGCTGAGAGTTAGGCTTGTTCAGTCTGGAGAAGGTTCAGGGGAAATCTTATAGCAGCCCTCCAGTACCTAAAGGGGCCTACAAAAAAGCTGGAGAGGGACTTTTTACAAGGGCAGGCAGTGAGTGGACAAGGGGAATGGCTTTAAGCTGACAAGAGGGGAAATTTAGATTAGATACTAGAAAGCAATTCTTCCCTGTGAGGGTGGTGAGGCACTGGCACAGGTTGCCCAGCGAAGCTGTGGCTGCCCCATCCCTGGCAGTGTTCAAGGCCAGGCTGGATGGGGCTTGGAGCAACCTGGTCTAGTGAAAGGTGTCCCTGCCCGTGGCGGGGGGATTGGAACTAGGTGGTCTTTAATGTCCCTTCCGACCCAAACCAGCCTGTGATTCTGTGAATGTGTAGGTGGGAAGAGCATCTAATTTGGGCAGGATCATCCAGCTGCTGTATGCCACTGGGATGTAGAAAGATGAAAGTAAAATCCCAAAGGGAATGAGAAATGTGGAAAAAAAGCTCTCTACAACAACCTCAGATGAAAAGGTCTTAACCTCAATTGACAGAGTTGTAGCAGAAACATTTTCTAACAACACTTCTTCTACAGTTTCAGAATTTTAGTTGCACTACCCTTTCTGTGGAAAAACAAACAAACAAACAAACAAACAAACAACCCACAACAGCAGCAACAACAAAAAACTGGTAGTAACATTTGTGCAAATAATTTCTGACAATTTTTAAATGTAGATAATAACTGGTTGGTTCCATGAAGTTTTAAATCAAATCTCTGGCAGGCACCTGTGGTAGAAAACAGTATTTTCTCCTTTTAAGCAAGAAGGTCTGTGTAATTCAATGGATAAGGGTGTATGGCCTAACTCCTGAGCATAAGCCATTAGAAACTACCTAAACCCTCCACTAAGCATAAGAAGGAGAAAAGGAAGTGATGAAGAAGTAAAATGGATCTTTTGTAATGCACAAGCAAAACATCCACAGGAGAATTTCAGGGAATCAAGTTTATACGCTCTGTAATTGCTTTGGTGTTGCCTTTTTGTTCAAATTTACACAAGAAGATCCAAAAAGTTGGAACAGTGAATGCAAAAGGAGATTATGACAGCTCAATGAAGACTAACCCTGGCTTAGCACAAGTATTTAATGCACAGAGAAATATTTCAGGTAGAGGTGAGAAGAAAAACATTAGTCCACAGCACAGCAGTGAAAAGGAAAATGGACACTGGGGAGTAAATTGCCTCACTTCTTTAGCTCCATGTAAGCTGGATTTGATGATATAAAGTAGATGTCTGAAGTCAGGCACTTATGAGCATGCGGCTCAGCAGCGTGGGGAAGAGAAAACCTAAGTATGGACCATGTATAACATCATGACCTGGTGTTTCTCACGCAGTGTGTCATTTTGATTATTTTTTCTGATACTATCTTATCCGATTGCCTTATAGGTTCTACTATTTCTTAGTATGCTTTTGCCCGGAGAAAAATCAAGAATATTTATTTCAGTACGGATCAATCCATCAAACGAGTTCTTAAGTTGATTCGTAACCCCTTCATTCTGAACAACAAAAACCTGCATCTGTTTTATGTGCCTCTTTTTATTCTGCAGAAACCAAAGCAAATAATCACCTCATTATATTCCAAACCCCTGGAATCAACCACCTTTTCCTCACGTAGCATCACATTAAGACAGAGAATACCTTTGCTGTGACCTTCTCCTTTTCTTGTCTTAAACAGAAATGTAGTGTTTCAATTTGTAAAACTGTGCTAATTATAAAGCCTCAGATTAACTGAACTGGCCTTACATTTGTGGGAAGAAAAGTAAACCTGTATTTTCCTGCAACAGTTGCAACACTGAATGAGTATTTTTCCTAAATAGATAAACCAACCTTCTTTTCTGAGTTGGGAAGGGTGTTAAAAAGGTTCTTAGCTTTTTGCTAACAGAATAACTTTAACACATCTTCAAAAAATAACAGAAGCTTTTTTCTGCAATATACTAAGATATAACAAATACATTAAAAAAGCCTAAACAAAATAGTATGCTCACCTCCATCATGTGCAAGTTCATGTTCCAGCATATTTCACACGTTAAAAAATGGAACTCTACCTCCCTTCCCCCTTCCAAAACCAGATAAACACAGAATTAAATGCAGTCTCTTCCCTGAAAGCCAAGAGATGGAGATTCTTGAATCTGTTCATCTGTTTCCAGTTCAGCTCCTGTTGCTCCTTAATCTTTTCCTCTAGTTTCTACTAGCACATTGACTAATGTCTGAATATTTAGTTCTAGAAAGGGAAGATAAAAATGTTTAAAGTTACTTGTTTCATGTTACTTCACATAATACAGCAAATGAAAGGGTTACTATCAACAGGCTACCCAGTTAAGCAACTCATTCTAGTACCATCAGCACAGTTTGCATTTGTCCAAACCTACACCCAATGACAGCAATCCAGCAGCATATGCCCACCTCCCTTTAAATCTCTCTTACAATCTATTTTCAAAGGAGAACCTTTTCTTTTTAATAGTATATCACTATTTTTAACATTAAGGAATAACTCGACAATAATTGGAAAAACATAATTTGGCATATTACAAACCAGTTCTTTGATAACATTTCTCTTTTGGTATCCCAAAATGTGTTTGATCCATCCAGAGTGTTTTCATCTATTTTAACACCAGCCAAGCTTGGTTCTGCATGCATTCCACTATGCTTTTCCTTATGCCAATACCTTCCCTCCCCATAGCTGCCACCCCAACAGTATAAACTCTGATCATGCTATAAGATGCTAGTTAGCCAGGTGACCTAGGACAAACCTTTCAATTCAGGACATTTTTGTGCTATCAAAATCTCCTCCCACTCACAGCTCTATTTAGTTGTCAAGAGGCAGTGTCTCCTCAGAGAGGCCATTAATGCTATTCTCTCTTCAGCTGATTCAGATGCTCAGCAAAAGGAGCTCAGCTCCTCCAAATGGAGCAGACCATCTCTGCAACATGCAATCTCAGGCTTATGTTAAAGCAACTGTGTTGATGTAACTCATTTTACATGAGAACTAATCACAATCTTACTTTGAAGTGCTGGGTAATATGGGGCCAACTGCTCGAGCACCCTGGTCATTGTAGGTATATCCTTTCCTTGTAGTCTATTCAAAACGTTGGGAGTAAGACCAACAGCATCTTCATCAAACATCTTATCCGAGCTTCTGAATTGCTGGTAACCTCTGTATGAACCACTGCCAGAGAATGAGTACTGATGTGAACTCAAATCATTCCTGTAGCCTGACTTCTGAGGCCTGAATCCTTGACACCTAGATTCCTGGTTCCAGCTAGATTCCTTGGTCCAGCTAAACGCCTGGTTCCAGCTAGAGCTCTGATTCCACCTAGAGCCCTCGTTCCATTCACTCCACCTAGAGT